AGCAACCAATGAGAACTCTCCGTAGGAAGCCTGCTTGCCTACAACGATCTGAGCACCAACAAGGACTTCTGCCCTTCATTCTCTCTCTGCCTCCCCACCTGCCGACTGAGTGCATCACCCCCGTAGGCTTCTTGGCCCTTGTCGGCAACCGTATTCTTGTGCAGAATAATCTGCTTCTGTCATTTGTTTTTGTTGTGTTGCCTTCTCTCTGTCCCATCTGACCAAAATACCTGGCCCTATCTCTCCTCCCAGTTGAGGCTGTCCTAGAAGAGAGGCTGTCTTGACTGGTATAATTCAAACACAGATCAGATAAGCCTCTGCCAACATAAACAGGCTTCCCGAGGGACACCTGGTCACAGGATGGTTGCTGCCTTGTGCTGTCTGTAGGGATAAGGCCCAATATAAACATTCACAACCAAATCCCCTGGATCCCTGTCAGGGCAGGACTAGAACTGACGACTACTCTGCAGAGAGACACCTCAAGACCAAATAAGAGAAATACAGGAATTCTACTAATAAACCTGTTTTTAAATATGAATACTTTCCAATAAAAAAAATCCTTTTTCTCAAAAAAAAAGGTATAATTCATTACATAAGAATAACATTTCTGGGAACCAGCAGTTAGCGTAATGGCTATGTCGCTGGACTCCCACGTAGTCGACCGTGGTTCTCATCCCGGACCCGGTGGCTTAAAACTCACGCTGGGCGCGTGTGCGTGCGTGCCCAAGATCCCGAGAGGAGAATGGAGGAGAAGGGATTGCGGCGTGACCATCCCCCCGGGGGATGATTTCTCGCTTTCTGTCTCTATGTCTTTCTCTGTCTGTCTGGCGAGTGCACGCGCCCTATAGCAAAAACCTCTCAAAAAAAAAAATTCTTAAATAGAAAAAACACTCCAGATTTTTTTACTTATTCAATGATATTGCACCTTTATTAGACAACTGGCTGAAGAAATAAGCAGCATTCAATGGCTCAAGAAATAGCCCTTAGAAAAATAGCAGTCCTTTCAACATGAAATGGCTAAATTCCTTCTCATGGGGTGTGTGTGTGTGTGTGTGTGTGTGTGTGTGTGTGTATGTGTGTGTGTGTTGTTTTTCTATTTACTTTTTTCTTGAACATAATTCAAGATTTCATTCAAGGAAGGCCCAAGGCTGAAAAATCTATTTTCACGAGCCATCTCCTGCCTTCAACTGTTTGTTGACTGAAAGTTTTATTTCATATTCCAGACCCTTTTATCTCTGGTTATCCTAAGAGCACTTCATCCTCTGAAAGTTCACCAAGCAGACCTATTCTTTTTATTTCTAACATACCCTTTGTATCTGCTAGGTTTATAGATTTCATGGCTATTTGTGCAAGGTTAAGTTGGGTAGCTTCAGATTTTACGGAAACAGCCAGGAGAGGGTCTATGCAAGCGGCCAGATGGGCTGAGCAGAGTAAAGTGTGGTGTGACGAATGAATTAGAACGGCCACTCCATATCTCAGTCTTTGTCTCACCACAGCTGAGCCTATTTCAAGATATGGAAAACTAGAGCATGTTTATAATATCAAGAAGCCCAATTTGACCCTTAAATCCCATGATCTAAATCTAAAATAAATAAAATTATGCATGGTCTGTTTTCTAATTCATCTTTCAAAAGCCAGGACTAAAAGTTGCATGTTGTATTATAAAAATAGGTGAGAAACATCAACAATGCACAAGGTCAGCACCCTATAACCTGTAATTCCAATGTTAACCAATGAATAACTGACATTTTACAAAACGAGGTCAATATCTGAATAGTACCCACTTCCTCAATATTAGCCATTTTCCCATATTTATATAACATGGCAACAGATGTCTCATGCAATGTTTTTATAGTTTCCTGTATTGTTTGAAATGAACTAGGAAGCTATTTTTGTTTAGAAGTTGTACATGTACTCATTCTTTTTAAACGTGCTAAATGTAAAAGATAATTAAATTTTGGCCCATGGCTGTGACAGAGACAGCAAGCTATCCCTAAAGGCTTGACTAAGAGTCTTAGAACACAGAGTTACAGGAAGGAAGGTCCCTAACCAGTGACTTGGTTGTGTAGTGCACAAGACCGTGCAATTTACACACTGCCAAAGAGTATGTGTCTCTTCTCCTCCTTTCTGCTGACCCAAGGTCAACCTCAGAAGTCCCCAGTTAAAGAGACGAAGCCTCGTCAGCCTGCAATCCTCACTGCCCCTGTGGAACCAAGTCCCACCCTGCAACTGGATTTTCAGTGGGCTTTGTTGGGTTGTCCAACAGAAATTCTGCAAGGTTATCTCTTTACAGCAGCTAATGTTGTCTTAACCATGGGGCAGCAATACTAGTTTTCAAAATGAATGTGTAATTCTTCATGTAGAGCAACCAAGATTATCAAAGCCAAATATCTCTTACTTTCATTTTAAAATAATTTCTAGGATATCATCAATATTATTAATATGTAAAAACAGTATATATGGTTGTCCCTTGGTATCCAAAGAGTATTGGCTCCAGGATACCCCACCTTGCCTGGATACAAAAATCCACAGATGCTTGTTTCTTAGGTAAAATGGTCTTATATTTGCATATAACCTACACATATCCTCTTATATCATTTAAATCATCTCCAGATTATTTATTATACATAATAAAATGTAAATACCATGTAAATAAGATAGTGCTTTTTTATTTGCATTATTTCTTATTGTTAGATGATTGTTCTTTATTGTTGGTTTCTTCCAAGTATTTAAATCTGCAGTTGGTTGTATCTGATCATATAGAACCTACAGATACAGAGGGTCAACTGTAATTGTGAACTGCAAAGATTCATGTATCTGATCCTTTTTCATAATTTAATAACTGACATAAAATATTACTAATGTTTAATTCCTAATCTGGAACATACAGACATAATGTTAACTATATACTTGTTAGTATCTCTCATAATTTAAACATCTCTTCTTAAATATCTAACCCTCTTCTCCATACTTTTCAGTTACAATAGTATTTTGTTTTAGATTTTACTAGTAGTCATTTACTAATTTGTATATTATGTTATGCCATATTGCCTATAGTAAATTATGGTAATGGAGATGTCTATGTCAAGTATCTTTTTTAATTATAAAAGGTCATTCATGTATTTCTTCCATGAGCAAGAGACACAGAAGGAGAGAGAACTCCCAATGTGGTCTCGATGCTATAATCTACCCCTAGCTGTTAGTCAGCCCCAGATCATGGCGAGCTGTGCCTGGTGTATTCAGCGAGGTCTCCCAATTTGAACCTTGAACTTTCTCATGTAGGATTCTCTCACAGAACAGCACACGTCACTGATGAGCCACTGTCTGGTCCTTTGCTTATCTTAATTCATTTAACCACACATGAAGGACAAATTGTATTTAACTTCCTAACCAATGAGCATAGCATGAATTTCAATGCTCTTTGATGTCTCAATATATATTTTATTTTTAAAAATAGCTACAATTTTAAATAGACACTAGATAGTATATAAATTGAAAGTTGCTATACAGTAACAATATTTAGGTTATGTTTTACATAGAAGCTTTTAATGTTTTGTTTGGTTTTTTTTATATCCAAATAACTGGTTCCATGAAGGTACCAACTATGTATTTCTTATTCATTGTGATATCCTTGTTGCTCAATTTAGATGAAAAAGTACATAAAACAGGATTAGAGGGGAGAACAGGTAACATGGTAGTTAAGGGCACTGAACTCTCACATGGCCAACCACAGTTCAAGTCCCGGACCTAGCAGCTTGCTTTCTCACTTTCCCTCTCTCTCTTGCTCTGTCCCTCTCTGGTCAAATTAATGAGACTGAGCTGGCGAAATAGAATTTTATGACTCTTACTAGAACAATACTGATCTTTTTCTACTCTTTGTACTCCAGAGATAAGGATTTTTGTCTTCTCTTGAGTTGTGGACAGGTCCATGTACCAACTATTCAAACAGAATCCTAACCTGCTTCTTGTCTTTAAGTCTTAAGCAAAGTTCTCTTAACATTTTTTGATTTTGATTTATTAAAGCTAAAACTGCCTCTCTTGAAATTAAGAAAGGATATTAAAAATATTTCATGACCACAGTAAGCTATATAGCCTCAGATTGCTGCTATTTTATGGCATATTCATTCTATTCACAGTTTCATGCCTAAAGTCAAACATTGGTTCACAGGTATTCATATATCAGCTGAACTTGCTATTGAAAGTAGTTAGACCAATTAAGATATCTTGTTAACCAATAAAATGCCAGGCAAGGGGGAAGGAATGGAAAGCAACTGTAGATATCAGAGGCAGTGTGGGAGGAGGGTGGGAAATTGCAGAGGGTGAGAAATGGGGGGATGGAGGGAGGAGATAGATAGGTATAGATATATGAGGCAAGAATTGGAAAATATTTGTTGATGATAATATGTACGACTAAGCCTTGTTTTCTGGATGGAAAACTGCATTTTGTATGCTGTGATAATATTCAGTGAACCAATGTAAAATAAATTAATAAAAAAATTTTAAATAAAGAAAAAGCCTCTAAAAATAAATAAAATAATTAATTCAAATAAAATCATTCTTAAAAAAAAAAAAGAATTAGAATGACACTGAATATTAACAGACTTGGGCTTGAAATGCCTGAATGTGCGTTTGGGTAAGTTTAAGCGTGGTTGTGGGATATATGCATCTACATAGATCTATGTACCTCTTTCACATAAAGCTGACGTCACTGTTGCAGCACAAAGCCGCATTCCACATTCTGTCTAACTTGGAATGGCGGCCCATGCAGAACCAGGAGAGCAGGACAAGAAGCACAGTGATAGGCTGTCGGACGGCGTCGGCACGGGCACTCACCTAACTGGATGAACTGAGGCTCGCTCTTCACCCCGGGTCCGGCCCCCGTGCTGGCTGCCACTTCCACACTGTATCGGATCCCAGGAACCAGAGAGGGAATAACCACAGAAAAGGTGGAACCATCTACTGTCTTGTTTATATGGTATCGAGTTTCATTGCCCAGACACCAAACCTGTAAGATGCACAAAATGATCAAGCACGTAGATCGTTTTAGTTCATGCGAAGATCAACAGATGGCTGCGATTTCAGACACAAATTTCAGATCTATCCTGAATCAGCTACAGGTAGTTTCAAAACGCATTTTCCCCTAAGATCTAATTCATAGAAAATTCTTCCAAATAGTGTTGTAATAGCTTCATGACCTATTTATACCTTCTCATATACCTGTAAAGGATTTTACCAGGTTATATCTACAAGTTTTTGCTTGAAGTTACTGGTTTCTAAAACACTGAAATCAATTTTCAAAAAAAAAAACCTTGCAGAAAGCTATGTATGTCCAAATATAGAACCATATAATTTTTTGATCTTTATTTGGCATCTCCATTCCAGGTGTGACACTTGACAATCATGTACCGAAATAAATAAGTTAAGTACAAAACTTCAAACGTTTTCTAGACCATTTCTGCAGTGGTTCTCTGGAATCAAATTACCTGGCACTGTCAACCACCACATTTTACATCAGACCAGAAGTGGTGATTTAAAAGGAGAGAATCATCCTACATTTTATTCAGCCTATGGTATGTTGAACTACTAGCCATGAGAGGAAATTAGCATTCTGGTCTTATATTTAAATGGGAATACTGGTAGTCCATAGCATATATGAGATCATAAAGAATAACAATACATTCTTGATGAGAAAGAAAAACATTCTTCAATTAGGCTGTTGTCTATCTCATTAACTTTGACGCTGATATTTATGATAGAAAATAACTTTTAGGAAATTAACATTCTGGAACTACACTATAATCCTTATATTAAATGTCACCAAAAGATTAATCATCATGTGATCCTTTGCTATGTTTGAGAACTTGGATTATAGTGCATGACAATATTCAGACTCCATTTCCACAAGAATGACCTATAGAAAAGTTAAACATATTCTTTAAGATGTCCTTGGGCAACATCAAGGATTAGCTTGAGGTAGGCTATTGTCTAAAATGTAATAGGAAATAGGATTTAAAAGAAACCTAAGAATGCCAGCATCTTCTATCAGTTGGACAATAACCTTTCATTTTTTTCCTTGAAAGTCAGTATTATTTTAATATTATTTCAATGCATAACATGAGCAAACGGTCAGATACTAGATCAGGATCTGACCATTTGGAAATAAAGACTCCTTTGTGAATTTTTCCCCCCAATTACATTATGCAGCTGAACCCAAGCCACAAACTGATTTTGTACCAGTCAATCAGGTTCTGAAAGGCATTTTAAATTGACCATGAAGTTAAGTGAAACCCACCCTTGCGCATTTCTTCAGGAGAGAAATGAGTTTTGACTCTTAGGGGAAAATGCCTACATTATTCAATTTTGCTTAAGAGCTGAGACATCACCTCTTTTTAAATCCTTAAAAATCTTGTATAACCGTCTATTTTTTCGCACTGAAACATAGCATCCTGTCAATTCCTACTACTGAAATAACCTTGAAACTCATGAGCAAGCACCTAAAAGTCTACAAGCGTTCACCTTTTAATAACCTGGTTACACAAGAAAAGACCCTAAAACATCCACAATGCAGTAATAGAAGTAGTTTTTCTTCTAAAAATATAATCCTGTAAATGTATACGAATTTTATTTAAAAGTTATCCACTTGTTTCTAAAAGGATTATTTCATTTTATTTACTATTATTATTTTAAAATTTGCTATTGAGCACGTGCACTCACCAGAAAGAGCTAGAGACAGGGAGAGAGAGAGACAGAAAGAGAGGAAAAAACGGCACCAGGTCTGGGACTTGAACCACAGTGAATCAAGTGGGATTTCAGTCCCCTACCCATCATGCCATTTGCTAGCCCCTATCAACTTGTCTTAAAAAGTTATTTAAAAATCAGAACAGCAGGTGGCATAGTGGTTATGTCACTGGACACCAACATCATCAACTGTGGTTCAAGTCCTGGACCCAGCAGCTTAAACACATTGGGCATATATGTGAGTGTGCCCCAGATCCCGAGAGGAGAATGGAGGAGAAGGGATTGCAGTATGGCCATCCCCTCGAGGGGTGATTTCTCACTTTCTGTCTCTCTGTCTCTCTGGCAAGGCAACTTATAGCAAAAATCTCACCCTAAAAAAAAATAATAATAAAATAAACAAAATAAAATAATATACCTAAAATTAAGCACAATATGCCTGGTTATTGCTATTTGGGCCATAACTAAGGATGCACATCTGAATTATCTAGAGAAATTTACCAAAATACACATGCAAGGGCCCCTGTAATCTAGATGAATCAGAATCTCTGAAGATCTGGGGATCCATACTTTGAAAATGACTTCACAGGTGAGTCTGATGTTAGGCTATAATTAAAAACCACTGACCTGGAAGGTAGACATGACCACCCTCCTAACATTAGTTTTATATCCAAGGGCAGTTTAAAATATTTACATATTGAAAATAATCTAGGTATCTAAATTTAGTTAGTAACTAGAAAAATAGGCTTCATGGAAATATAAATCATTGCATACAGAAATACATATTTTGCAGTTAAAATTCTCCTAGTATGTTCACTTAAGTCTTGAATCAATACATATAAGGCATATTTTCTGTTAAGTTTTCCTGTCCAATTTATCATTTATCCTAACCCGTTAAGACTGTCCTACACCACAGACCCATTAATAAGATACGGTCCAATATACATCCTTCTGACTAGGTCCCACTTCTTAAACAGTTTTTGATGCACCTTGGCATACCCGAAAACACTTTCATAGAATGAATCTATGTAAGACTGTCTATATTCATTGAATTTAATAGGTAAAAATATTTATTCAGTCATTAGATTAAATTATTTGGCAATACATTACATATTTTTAAAATTCAGAAAATATGTAGAAGTTTATCATCGAATTTCTTTAGACACATGAAAGTTTGTTCAGAGACTAAAACAAAGTTTATAGAAAAAAATGATTTTCATATAGAGTATTGTAATAATTTTTAACTTAATTCTAAAGTTTTAAAACTTTGGAGATGTGATCAAAGACAACACACCACTCTTCATAGAATGCCAATTTCTTAGGGCAATCTAATCCTGAAAAATATATTTAAGCTGTTTTTTAGGGAGATAAAGGAGTTTTAAAATCAGCATTTAAAATGGTCATTTATGTCACTTTATGAGAACTTATATATTTTGTGACTGCTTATGTTGTACTTTTTCAATTATGCTTTTCAAATAGATTTTCTAGCAAAAAAAAAGAAAAATTATTCCACAATCCCTAAATAAGCAGCATTTCAAAAACAATTTTACATGTTGCACACTTGAACCAGCAGATGGCGCCAGACATCCATAAACAAATTTACCACGTTTTTCTTTTTCTTTGTGAAGTGAGGGGCTGTCCATTAGTAAATTAATACTCATGTATTACCTTATACTCTTGGACCATTCCATTTTGGGTGTCTTCTGGTGGTGGCTGCCAGCTAACAAGAATTGCAGTTCCATTTCCATCATTCTTTGATACGGTTACACCTTGTGGTGGGGCACTGGGTGCTATAGAATTGTTTTTAAAAGGAGATGATAAGAGCGTGTTAGAGAACATTGACAGCAGGCCTGTAATATTTAAAATGTGACAATGACTACATACATATTATATAGATATAGATATTTTCAAGATGTATCTCATCCAAGTTTCAAGAGTCTCAAAACTACTTGTTTTTATGCAGTATTGCTAATCCATTATTCTTGTGAATTTTTCATGAAGTTTATAAAGTATCTCCACAAGAGATTTCAGAACAATTCCTGTTTCTCCAATCCTACAAGCTTAGTCTCATGCTCTCCCTAAAAATGTGCAAAAATACTAAAATGGCTGCTAATCATGCATGATCTTAATCATGTCCTGTTAATTCTTACTGTCAAAGTGACAATGTCACGTTAGATAGAATTCTGATATCGTTCTTGGTTTTGGTTAAGGAAATGCTTATGACATTGACCCTTTTACCTTAGCCGTATTGGTTCGCCCAGAATTGGGGGTCTCCAGAGACATGAGGCGTAAAGAGAAAACACTAACCCTGGAAAATCCTGAACCAACAAAGACACCACTCACCTGCTTTAAATCAGTAATCAAAATCACATTCACTAAATGAAGACCATTTAATAAATGAATAGAAGATAACAGAAAGGTAAGTAGACTTAGAACAAGGGCATCTTTAAATATGAATTTTAGTTCTGAACAATTATGTGTACTCTATATGCACCACTTATGATATGATGTTCACATTTGCACATTGTTATGTACATCACCATTGAAACAAGCCACTTATGACAGAATTTTGTTTTTCATCACCATTCTTTTTTTAAAGAATCATTTTATTTAACTTTATTTATCCATTTATTCATTTTTAATTTGACCAGAGAGGAAGAGGGAGAGAGAGAGCAAGTGAGAAAGCAAGCCAAGCCACCAGGTCGGGGACTCAAACTGTGGTCAGCCATATGGGAGTCTAGCACCCTTAACTACCATGCCACCTGCCGGCCCCTTTCATCACTATTCTAATTAAACAAATTATCTTAGAAAAACATAATGTTTAACACCAAGGCAATAATCTACATCACTATTAACACTTTAAGAATTTCAATTAATTTAACAAATATATTGTCACACACAGAAATTACACTCTATATCATACTAACCTTCTTCTAGGGTTTTGGCAAACTTGATTTCACTATCTGCTCCTTGAAATTCATTAAAAAAAGGACGAGCCTTAATTTCATAGTTGACTCCCTTTTTTAGATCAGGGATAACCACACTATTTTTGGTGGGGGTCCTCACTTCAAAAACTAACCACTCCGATTCACCATGGTTGGGTCCAGACGGCCGATAGAGAATTTTATATCCTTGGATATACTGAGACTGTTGGTCCACCTATTCAAGTGACAAATAAAAATGCAATCATTCATACCTGCCGGTTGTCTCACTGGAAAATAATGAAAGTTAATAATACAAAATGCTAAACAAAAATCCATCTGGCTTCTCTTCATATTTTTCTAGTTCGTGTAAGTAGAATAGTAGTATCTGTCCTCTTTTGTAAGCTGATGTTAAATCCCATAATATTAATTTCAAAGCTACACCTCAAAACATGAGACACCATAGCAGTTCTGAGACATGTCAGCATAAGGGGATGAGGAAGCAAAACATGTTTTCCTACTTTCATGTTTTAAAAGTAGACTTCCTACTAATTAGGGTTATTCTAAGTTGAAAAAATTCAGATAATGATGCTATCGCAAGTTACATTTCTTAGTTATTAACTTTGTATTTCTTTCCTCTGAGACTGGTAAAGTTCATTATTGCAGTCTAACCGAGAAAAATGCACTAACATGAAATTTGTCTCTGTTCAAAGCCAGATCCTAGTTACCATAATAATGCTTCCATGCTGGGGAAATAGGCAACAGATTTTATATATACAATGATCTCCCAGAAGTCACAGGCTTATTAAAATCAAGATCAAATATTGCAACAACTCACTGTCCAGTGCACTTCAATTGAGGAGGAGGAAAGGATGGTGGGGTTGTGGAGGTGCAGGACCACATTCCCCAGTTCTCTCTGGACCTGTTTGTGGTCCACCCCCTGACTCGTTGGTGGAACATCTGCAACAATTCAAGAAGACTGAGTCAGGTCCTGTGTGATGTTACTGAACTGAGTGAAAGCATGATGAAACAATCCTTTCATTCATGGCAACTGTCAGATAAATAGAATTACTGAGACCAGGAAACCAACCTGTGACATGGAATAAAGCAGGAACAACTTACACTTCTTATTAGGATAAGGGAATGGGAGAGGAAGGGAGAGGAAGAGCAGGGAAAGAGACAAGCAAATGACACGTAGAAAGTAAAACGAGCTGGTGCAAATACAAACAATGTCCAGTGCCGAGAGCAGCGTTTATAGCTCCTCCTACCATGTCACGATCACTTTCTTGCTGAGCAAAGGAGCCCAGTGCAATCCCCTCTGCGTTTATTATCATCTTCTGTAAAGATCCTAAGTTGTAAGAATGAAAATATCCAGATGTGACGGTGGAGTGGATGAGCAATGAAAAGCATGGGACGTGGCCAAGTAAAAAGCAAGCAAAAGCAGTCAGACACCTGACTCTCAAATCCACCCGGATATGTTCCCATGTAAGGTGTACGATACATTGGCAATGACTACGCAGTACAGAAGAGCTATCAATAAAGGAAAGTAAGTATGCATAAATCTGACTGGATCCATGAGAAAAAGAGCACTTCAGATCTATTTAATTGATGGTGGCTTAAATTACATCACAATAAAGAAGGTATCTTAATCTCGAAACCGCTAAAATTGTCGAAAGATAACAAGGGTACGGTAAGAATTGAACTGCACTACTGTTAAACTTTTTCTCTGACAAGGAGGGGTCTTGTTAAACTTATTGAAGCCTGTACTCAACAGAGATTGCCTGCTTCTGAAGAGGTTTTCTAAATACGATGCTTTGCTCTGTTTACAGTAGTAAGAAGGAACACAGGGCAAAAGGAGAAAGTAATGAATTCTTGCCTCCAGAATTCTCCTTGTATTTTGACACATATATTCTACACTATTCACGATCACATAAAAAATGTGAGTTTTGGTTCTTTAAATGTTTACATGCCTTCAAAGAACTGACTTTGGAGTGAAAGAAAAAGCATGAAGATTAAAAATTAGACTGGTAAGTGTCACTGATGGAGTCCAGGGAAGCCAGGCAAATGGAAGAGATGACAGATCAAGAGTGCTATTAAGCACACATATATTATTTGAAAAAAATTATATATATATGTATGTATATATGTTTATGTGTATACACACACACACACATATATCACACAAATTAAACTCATAAATAAGCAAAATTAAAAAGCTGAGATAACACGAGCATGTCCTACTGTACCCTACCTCATCCACAGTTTTGGCTACTACTGACCTTCAGGACCCCTGTCCTCCCAAGTCACAGATCAAAAGCACCTGACTGTCAACTGCCCAGCACAGGCATACGGCCTTTGTTACTGACCCAGCTGTTCCTCTGACTTCATCTATGCTTGATCTTTATGTGACGTGAGGTGCTTGGCACAAATATTGGGGGCTGACCCGTAGCACAAAGCCAACTACCGCAGGGGGGAGCCAGGTCCCACATGGCCAACCAGGGCTCTAGTCTTGGACTAGCAGCTTGAAACACTGGCTAAGTGTGTGTGTGTGTCCAAGATCCTGAAGGATGAAGAACTGCAAGAGAGAGGATCTCAGGGCGACCAGGCCCTGTGTGGGAGTGCTGCCTCCGTTTTCTCTCTCTCCTGTGCACATGTATCCTCTGGCATTAAAAAAAAAAAAAAAGCAAAAATCAGATTTGGATTTGTACCCTAATGGCTGCTTAAAAACCATTGTAACATTTGTAACTTTCTTTTTTATTTATTTTTTGGAGAGGGTTTTGCTATAGGGAGTGTGTGCTCGCCAGACAGACAGAGAGAGACAGAGAGACAGAAAGCGAGAAATCACCCCCGAGGGGGGATGGCCACACCTCAATCCCTTCTCCATTCTCCTCCCGGGATCTTGGGCTGGCACGCACGCACATGCGCACAGCATGAGTTTAAGCCACCGGGTTCGGGACTTGAACCGTGGTCAACTATGTGGAAGTCCAATAACATAGCCATTACGCTAACTGCTGGTCCCCATTTGTAACTTTCTTAACCTCGCTCTTGTTCTGTTTCCTATGTGTTGAATGGTGATGTCAAAGGCAGCCCCTTCTAAGGATTGCTGTGATACACGCACTGTGGTAGGACACAAAGAGGCTTTCCTGAAGACAGGGGATGGGCCAATCTCTCGAATTCATAGCAACTAGCACATACATAGCACGGGTGAGCCACTGGACTCACAGTGCCTCGGAAGCAGTCAGAGTGGGAGATGGAAATCTGCCTTGAGGTTACCTGTACTCGCTGGTCCTTTTGTGTTGCCTGAAGTTAGAATTAGCATACCTCCTCGTCCACATGGCAGTCTCTTAAAATGTCAAGGAGAGGGTGTCATGCCTAATTCAAAAATGTTCTGGCTTAAACAGGCCAAGGTCCTTACATGTCTTTTCTTATGTGATTTCCAGACTTTCATGCAGTTCCACCAACTATCCTCATGGTCTCCTTTAAGAAGCTCATGTGAAACTGTGGTGCTCAGAACAAACTCGCTCCATTTGTAATGTGGCCAGTTCAGCGTTAGTGGAGAAGGACTACTTAATCCAGACATATTTCCACGAAGGCCAGATAAGACTGTCTTTGTTCCTTCGGCAACTATGTCACTCAGCTGAGTCAGGTAGGTGTTTAAACCGCCTTCAACACCAAGGTCCACCCATCCCACAAAGCCACGACCTATTCCCACATACTCCCCTGAAGCATAACGTCCTTAGTCTATACTTTTACGGTTAAGTTATTTTTTTTTAGAGATTTTTGCCACAAGGTATGTGCCTTGCTGGAGAGACAGAGAAAGATGGAGAGACAAGAAGTGAGAAATCACCCCCTAGGGAACATGGCCTTAGCACACCCCTTCTCCTCCATTCTTCTCTCAGGATTTTGGGCTGGCATGCACATGTGCCTGGTGTGAGTTTTAAGTTGCCAGGTCCTGGTCTTGAACTGTGATTAACTACTTGGGAGTCCAGTGATGTAACCATTATGCCATCTCCCAGTTAATTTTTTAAACCTAAATTCAAGTACTAGATGTTTAAATTTGCTCCATTAATTTTTGTCTTACTAAGTCTGGCCCCTTCATTCCAATCTGTCAAGACACATTTAACATTGATTCTCTCATTTGGATATCTTTCTCAGTTTTATTATATTCACACGTTTTATGAATTTTGATTTTTAGTCCAGATACTGAAAGAAATATAAGTCCAATAACAAATTTTATGGCATATTACAGGGAAAAAAATCCGGATCTTGTATACTTAAATACTAATGCATTTATTTATTCTTTGTCCAATCCTAAGGAGCGGGTGTATTTCGATTCACTTTACAGTAAGGAAACTGAAGCTCAAAAGAACTGAGTTCAGAACTCCTGGTTGAAGAGCTGACATACAATTCTCTTTGATTTCAAAATTATACGCTGCCTTCCTGTATTTCCAGTCTGGCAGTTAACATGCATTCGTTTCACCTGGGTGGTTCTAGCCATGCATGCAGAAAGGCAAGTGCAGGCCCTGCCAGGCTGGTGCTGGCAGTCAGGTGTACTGTGTGGTACTGAGCCACAGGAAAAGACTCTGGGTTCAGATCCCAGGTCAGCTTGAACACAGGGTGCCAGTGCGGCCACGTGTGCTCCTGGCTTGCCAGAAGGGCAGAAAGGATGACAGTGCGGCAAGACCCTGCAGGGGCCCAAGTGTCTCTTTCACGATAGAAAGAAAGAAACATTTTTAAACAGGCAAGTTAATTTAACATTTCTAAAAGGCTCAGGTTAATGTTCAGATAAAATGCAAACTACCAACTCACAAATGAGGCTATCTATTATAAAATCCTTCAGATGGGTATATGACAAGATACCAGTAAGCAGTAGTCAATCAAAGACTTTCAGTTCAAGTCGACTGGATAGAGACCACTGTACTGGGAACAGAAATTTAAATTCCTGTTATAGCTGTCATAGTTCCTGCATTCTTTACAAATGCATATCTAATAGCGAAAACCTCAACCTCCTTAAGGCAACTCCAAGTGTGTAAAAGCTCCTGGCGAGGTGACATAACAGCGAATACAGGCATTGGGGTGTGTTGAATTCACACAGCCAGACGGCTGTGGGCGTGTTCAACCACTTGGTTACCTTCTCTGAGAATTCTGAAACCAAAGTCCAGCCCAAAAGATTGTTTCTAGTGTTTTATGCACTAGAAAATTCAAAACAAGCAACATGACTGGCAGACCCTCTCCCAAAAGAGGCCAGGGAGAAAAAAGTTTGTGGGTATAGTCATCTACAACTTGTTTCTATAGTTGTTACTAAGTTACAGTTTTTCGTTTTTTGGTTTTTTGATTTTTAATAATTATTTATTTTATTTATTCATTCATTTATTTTTTAGTTTGATCAGAGAGAGACAGAGGGTGAGAGTGAGAGAGAGAGGAAGTGAGAAAGCAAGCCACCAGATTCAGGACTTGAACCCTGGTCGGCCATGTGGGAGTGTCCAGCACCTTCACCACCATGCCAACTGCTGGTCCCCTAAGTTATAGTTTTTTTCCCCTTCAGAAGTATGTACCTCAAGATAGAGACATGATTCCTCTATATGTCAAAAAAAGAATTTCATATTTCTAATCACTTCCTTCTAAAGTGATCTTTCTTTATTAATGTATGAATAAAGCACGTTTTAATTACAAGGAAATTGTGTGAAGAAATGGTACAGGTTAATTCAAATTCATTTCTCTTTCTTTAATCGATAAATTTTTACTCCTCGTCCAACATTGAGATAATAAGGTGAGCAAGAGGGTGGAGAGGATAATAATCTGTTGGAAGCTAAAAGTAATTTCTCTTTCTAAAAGATAAAAGCAGTACATTCAAAATGTGGTCCAAATGAATAACACGGCCAGTTTCAAATGTTTTGGAAGCAGTTTTAGGCCAGTCCGATTTTATTTTTATCTGTTTCTTTATCCCAGCTTTGACCAAAATATAGGTGTTAGTCGCTTAAAATATTCATAAATCATCGCTTCCATAATTAATAATGCGAGGCGGACCAGACATTATAAAGGCCTCTGTATTTTACTTCCCCATACTTTGTAGAAGGTTACCTAGACAGAGGGATTAAAAACAAGTTTCCAGTGAACTCACATTTGTGTAATATCAAGGGAGTTTAATTTGATTAGGTCTATTATTCTGGAAAATTATGAATGCTGAAATTCAACATAAGAAAAATGTACTCGATTTGAAATACAATTTCAATACGAACATTTCACACCCACATCTAGCTATATTTGGAAATCAAGAAGTTGACTAAAAATGGGTAAATATTCACACAATATTTTCTGTCTCAGTGGATTTCTGATTTTATGAGAAACAGGTCTCAGGTTATCAATCTTATCTTGGTATGGCTATTCCAGAAAACAACAAACGTTGTAGATGCTTCATTTGTGTATTAAAAATTAATTAAGCCACTTAGACAACTTGAACAGATTGCAAATACATAATCCTAGCCTCTGGGACAAATGATTTGCCTGTACATTACAACATCTAAAGATAAGTAGGTATCAGAAGGTTAAGCAAATCAATATTTACCTTGCGTTTTTACTGGATCTGATATTTGACTTGGATCACTAATTCCGTAGGCATTAGCTGCCCTCACAAGGAAAAGGTAAATTGCATTAGGCTTGAGTCCTTTAATGGCGAATGTTTCTGTTTTCACATTTTCTGCTACAGTCTGCCAGCTGCTGCCTGATGCATGGCTGAGGGTAGACACACAAGTTACAACATGTGTACTTAATGGGAAGTCGAAAAGAAAACAGCAACTGAGAAACGTCCTCTCACTCTACCTGAAAGCTTCTATAATGTAAGACGTTGGCGTTGCTCCTGAATTCAAATTTGGTTGCCATGATAATGTTACTGTGTTTCTGCTGACATCTGTTACTTCAGGTTTTGAGGGGGCACTGGGGATTAAATTCGGGTCAGTGGGTCTTGGAGGTTGCACTGGGACTCCAAATTCTAACAAGCAGGAAAAATACAAAAGAAAGATGATACACACATACAGGTAAGGATAGAAATGTGATAATATATCACATACCAGTTCAGAGACCAGGACATGTGCTTCATCAATTTACCAGTAAGTGAACAGCTGCATTTTAAGCTCTATTTTAAAGCAAAAATACTATGTAATTTACCTTGGACTTCAATGTACGCACTCCAAGTTGCTTCTCCACTGGGTGTTGATGCGGTGCAGGTGTACCGACCAGTGTCACCCAGCTGAAAAGACATACAGAAAATAAATATTTGGAACAATCAAGAGCTCACTGGGCTGGAAAAGCAATTACAGGTTTGTATATGGCCCATGAATATGGATAACTGCATTACAATTTGCTAACCAGAGCTTATTTGAATGTATTTTTATTGAATGTGAAGGAAAATATTTCATAAAGACAGAAAAGAGATTTTATATGGTCATTCAGTATATAATAAAAATATAATATTTAATTACAATACCATATCAAGAACAATTACTAAGGCATAGAATTCTCTATTCAAAGGGTTAATCTTTATTGTTGAATTATATTTTTGTGTTTAATAAGTCACATAGTAAAGCTGATAAAGTTAACTGATGACTATTTGTGTTATTTTGTATTTTATCAGAGTTAAACTATGTGACTACATGAAATTAACAGCTATTCCTAGAAAAAATAGGCAAAAAAGATTTTTTTAAGGTATTCTTTTTTTTCCCCTCCAGGTAGTTGAAGAAGTATTAAGTCAAACCTAGCTGGAATGAACACTTGCTCTTCTAAAGGCTGAAAGCCAATAAACAACCACAGGTTACCGCTCAACTTCAGAAACAGCAGCAGCATCTGAAAGCCATGTATCTTTGCTTAAGCTAATCATCTTCATGTAACATTTGACTAAGCAAGAAGGTTGTCAAATTGCTCTGACAATTGCAACAACAAGGTCACCCTGGTTGTCATGAAGAAGTACAACATACTAACTTTTGTGTCACAGAAAATGAACTGTGAAGCTGATCCCAAACTCAAAAGCCACCTACAACAGGCAATCCAACCACTGAAATGTATGTTTACTGCTGTCAAGACTCTTCCTTCATATGCCTCAGGACCTGTCTGATCCTGCTATAAAGCACATGTTTGCATGTGCAGCATTTTGTAATTACAAATACTGAGCTAAATACTCACAGTAGAACTGTGCAAGGACATTGCACATAAAATGGGACTGGAAAAACATCTTGCAAAACGCTTTATGGGACAACTGCATCATCCCCCTATTTGGAAGGTACATTTCTCCCACAAATGCCCATCTACTTTCCACAACTAGTCTTGGAAATCTTTCTTTTCTCCTCTATACAATCTTAAATTACTTGCCATGGGCTAAATTATGAGTCAAACCACTCACAGTGGAATTACTGAAAAAATAAACATCAAATTAAAAGTATATTACTACTTTTATTTAGCATTTCATTAATGCTAAAATTTGATATTTCAACACGAGTGGCTGGAGGCAAAATGAAAGTGGTAGAAACAAGGAAGCGCCGGGTGCCAGGCTACGTTACCTTTGCATATCGGATCTGCAGCACGCCACTCTCCAGCTGTTTGATCCGAGAATCTTGGGTTGAAACAAGGACTCCATCCTTTCTCCACAGAATTGTGGGCACTGGACTGCCTGTGGCCACACAGCTGAGAACTAAAGTACCATCCACTGCTACAGTCTGATTCACGGGACCTTGTCGGATGACTGGGGGAGGCCGGTCTGCAATCACTGCCAGAAGAAACAACAGGAAATAGATTTGGGCAACTGGAAGCAATTTTCTAATCATCCAAGCAACAGCAGTTGCTTTAGGCTTTGAAACAAACTAAAGATAATTAAAGAAGTAATTAAAGCAGGAGACATGCATTATTCAGAATGCATTTATATGATACACTGACTCAGAATATTAAAATGAGATACCGTGTACTTCTTTCGAATGACCAATCACTGAGCTCGCTGCGTTGTCAAGACACCCTTTTCACTTAAGGGCTCAGACACTAAGAATTGTGAACAGGGGAAGCAGATGCATGGTGGTGGGATCTGCTGGTGAGAATGGAAATCGGTACTTCCTAAGTCTAAACTTTGAAAGAACAAAACACAGTAACAACAACAAAATGTAGCCCAAGGAAATACATGAGACAAATTTTAATAAATGATCTAAAATCAACTTGACATTTTATAACTCTTTTGTGTCAAACAGAAAAATAAAATTAAAAAGGTACCAAATAAGCATGTTTGACAATTTGGGGTTCAAAAGAGTATTTTGAACTTTCATAATATACAAATCAATATGATCACATTCCTTATGTCTTTTGTTGTTGCTGTTTTTAATTTTTGCTATAGGATATGTGCACTACCCAGAGAGAGCAAAAGTGAGAAAGCTCTCCCCAGGGGATTGGCCACACTGCCATCTGTTCTCCTCCGTAATCCTCTCAGGATTTTGGGCACACATGCACATGTGCCTGGTGTGTTTTTCAGGCCCCTGGATCTGGGACTCTACGCATGCAGTTGGCCACATGAGATACATGCCTTCACCACCATGCCACCAGCTGGCCCCTTACATCATTCCATCTTAGAAGTCTTCCTATTAAAATACATGTGAGTGAAAATTACCCAGTTATAATGAATTCAAAGAAACTAGAAAGTTATACAAATGTATTGTTGATAGGCTGATCCAAAAAGATAACTCAAAATGACATCCTAACTTGGCAATGACCACACTCCCAGGTTGGAATGAATAGAAATGGAAAAAGCGCTTCTGCTACGTCTGTTACCTTAAGTCACAGTTTTAATATACTGTGGAAGTAGCAATGCGAGGAATTTTGTTACAAATAAATAAAAGTATAACTGTTATTGTATGATAAAATCTAAACCCTAACCATTTTATCTGAGATAAAGTAATGATTTCATGGGAAAACCTAAATCAGCTGTTTTCCATAGGAGAAAACCTACATTACAGAACTATTCCTATCCTCCCAGTTAGACAATTTATATGAAACTTCACAAATTTGATTTTGATAAATGAAAAGAAAAACAAACAAACAATTTCAAAATATTCCTTACCTGCTAAGCTTCAAAATTCTGGATATTAATTAAGGGTTTTTTAAAATTTTTTAAAGGACAAAAATACACAAAAGAAAAACTCTAAGCTGTCTGATTAAAGAAAACTGGTTGCCTGAGTAACTAAATTTTGGATGCAACAATTTGCAAAGCTCAATATGTCATGTTCGAAATTTTATGCACCAAAGATTTTCACAAGCTGAAGTCACTCTTCAATTTGTTCCTCATATATCATGCAACAATTATTAGCTTTGTCCATTAAAAAAAAAAAAAAACAAAAAGAAAGAAAGAAAAGGCCCAAAAGCAATGGAACAAAATTAGCCATCAAACATTAGCACTCTACCCATCTAATTCTATGCTATGCTTTAGTTACAAGTGTAAAATTAGCTAATACCAGAAGGTGTGTTAGAAAGCTGGACTTTGAAACTTGGCCAAAGTATTTTATATACTCCATAGCTGAAAACCATAAACCAATTATTCTTTTGCTTAGAATTTTTAAATCTTTTCCACTTTATCTATTGAGATTATCTAAAATCAAATTAGAGGTCCCTCCTCATAAGGATGGTAGAAAAGAATGCGAGCACTTTATTGCACTTGCCAGAGAGAGAGAGAGAGAGAGAGAGAGAGAGAGAATGAGAAAACCCCTCCTCCAAGCCCTGCCATTGCATCCTCCACTCTTCTCTTGGGACTTTGGGCATACATGCACGTGTACGTGGTGTGTTTTTCCCACTGCCAGGTCTGGGTCTTGAAAACCACAGTAAGTCATATCGGAATCCAGATGCCTCAACCACCACACCACCGCCTGGCCCTCACTGGGTTTTTTAATAAGACATCTTGTGTTCTCTTGATTATAATAATAAATATGTCTTTATAGACATTAAATGGCTAACAGAGTACTTCTCTAAAACTGATTATAAGTCCAGTAAAGAAGTAAAGGTTTATATTTAATAGTCTTGTTGTATTTAGAAATAGTCCAGTATCGACTTTATCCCATTCTCTTCATCTTATAGTTGTTCTTTGATCTTTACATCATAGTTCACAGCATCCACTTCTCCCTGTTCCTTCCCAATGTGGTTAATTGATGCTGCTTCTCTGCTATTGACTTCCGTACGACTTACATAGGGTAGTTAACAAAAACAAAGCATGAAAAAGATGGGCTCCACCTCAGCCATATGTCTTTGGGTAAGTGCCTTAAATTCTTTAAACCCTAATTTTTTTTTCAACCTAAAGCATGAGGATAATAATACTCATCCTCAGTAATTCAGGCAATTCTTAGGAAGGTGTAAACCGTAGATATAAAAGAATTATATACCCATGTGCTCTGACACCGTCACTTACCCTTTCCTGTAAAAGCTAATATGCAAATCGAAGCTGAAGGATTTAGGAGTTCATTAAAGTAGTTTCATGTTTTTGGGTAAAGAAAATAAAACCTTGTGGTGTTATCAGGGATTAGAATAAAATACTGCCGAAACATTTAAACTTACACATATTAAAGAACATAGTATACTCATGAAGTCAAACCTAAATTTAGAATTTATGAGATAAGCCCTAAATGAGGGTTTAGAATCTTACACTGGAAATATTACAATAACTTACAAGACAACGAAATGGAGAGCATTAGAAATAGAAATGTGGGACCAGCAGATGGCATAATGGTTATGTTGCTGGACTCTTACTTGCTGACCACAGTTCAAGTCCTGGATCCAGTGGCTTAAAACTCACACTAGGCATGTATGTGTGAGTGTCAAAATCCTGAGAGGTGACTGCAGGAGAAGGGACTGTGGTATGGCCATCCCCCTGGGGGGTGATTTCTTGCTTTCTGTCTTTCCGGCTGGTGAATATGCCTTATAGCAAAAATCTCTTAAAAAAATAGAAATGTTTATCAAAGTGAGTAAACATATGGACTTTGGAATTAGAAAGATGCAATGATGGATTGCAAAAATGTTCCCTTTAAGAATACTTTACCAGAACCTGCATGAGGGCATAGTAGTTGTGGCAATGGACTCTCATAAGGCTGACTGTAGTTTGGTGCCTTGATTTCTCACTTTCTCTCTCTCTTTCTCTCCTCTGCTCTGTCTCTGTTTGATGAATGCACATACCTATCACAAATATAAAAATAATGATGATGAATAAAATTAGATAAATAATTCTAAAAGAAGAAGGAGGAGGAGAAGAAAAGACTTTATCCAATGCAGTATGTCATGGTTAGAAGTGGCTGCTGAGCACATGAGTTTGACTAGAATGACTGAAGAACTGGGTGTGTAATTTAATTTGATTGTAAGTAATTGATGTTTTAGATAACTACATGTGGTAAGTAGGCACCTAACTTGACAGGGCATGCTTACACTTTATTTAACTTTGTTTTATGAAATTTATTTAGTTATTCCATTAGTGAGAGAGACAAGGAGAAAAAGAGAGAAATACCCCACTCCTCCTCTATACCCTCTCTACTGGTCTCGATGCCTCCATACACTCCCATCATCAACCAACCCAAGATCTCAGGCACACACACCCGGTACACTCTGAGAGGTCTCCAGACAAATCAGCAACGTTCCCAAAGAGCATCACCTTTTCCTACTGCACCATCTGGACTCCATGTTTTAAATCTTGGCTCTGCCACTTATTATTGGTGTAACTGGGGACTACCTCTTCACCAATCACTGCCTCATTTTTTTCAATGGCAAAATGAGATATGACACTTGTAAGGTGTTCATGTGTGGCAAATTCTTAGTCTAGTTCTGGCAGTTAGTAAGCGTTGGATAACCGCAGTTTAATATTAATAAGATCAATATAATAATAATATGGTTGTAATGACAGTATAAACAGTTTAAGACATGATGTAACCCTGTTATAGCAGGGTATATAAAAGCTTACCTATCTTTTGTCACATTCAACACCTAAATGAGTGTAGTTACATCAAAATGTAATATTTTGTCAACTCTAAAATGATGATCATGAAGACTATGTTAACACAGATAGATACCTTTATAAAATAATTTTAAGTGAAAATAAGATACACATAGTATTACATTATATTATTATAATCATTTATGAAAAATTCAAATTCATACACTAATAAACACCCGTTATATATCACAATGGTCACCCATTTACAAAGTGCTTTCCAAAGTCACGGCCTAGGTTGTAAAATACTATCTCAACTTAGAAATTGGGGAAGTGAAACTTTGAACGTTCTAGTGACTTATACAAATGGAACAATTACTGTGAAATCTGGAAGTAAAGGATAACATTCTTTGTGCTGTGTATCTGTAAGTTTTGAAAGATGGATACAAGTGTAAACTTTTATAGGTCATCTAATAATCATTAACCTTATTCTTTTCTTTTCATCTGGTTATAAAGAGAAGAGACATTTTAAACTAAATATGTGATACGAAATTGTTATGTTCTTGAACCAAATACAATCCGGGTTAGGTTCCAGCTAGAAAGAAGGA